TTTTCGGTACAGTGAAGTACACCTTTGGTACAGTAAATATACATATTAAACACAAAAAAATATTTTCATGTGCGGACATTTGAGTAGTCATCCGCCGTATTGATAAAAGTCTTTTTTTCGTAGCTTTCATACCGATGAATCAATCAATTTGAACCGATTGGGATATATGATCACATACAAATTCGGATTGCGCATAGAATCTCCAAAAAGAAGGTGCTTGAAATTAGCGAGCATTCATAAAAAGTGTGAAAGGTATATTATGATATTAAAATAAACCGTTGAAACTTTATGTAATAAAATGTTAATTTATATTCGATGTTCAAGCTGTGATAAGCCCGTGGACGACAACGAATTTTGCATGGCAATATCCGCTATGAATTTATTATATGTGAGCCATCTTATTTCTTATCGTCATATGGTTGTAAATTCGGTCTTTCCATTCGCAAAAATACCAAACACAATCGAATATTCTCAAGACAATTACAATCGACTGAGTGTGTTCGCTCCAAATGCTTGTTGTATGAATATATTAAATGTGACAATCGATGCGTATTTGGTACGTGATCCACAATCACTAATCAAGCGAACGAGAAGAAAAGCGTGACGATGAATACATGTCACTTACTTTTTGCTCTTATCGAAAACTGAATACGGTCTGCGAACACAGTTCTGTGCATTTAACTAAACGCTTGTTGTCTTACAATGCTAATGTCATTTTCGTCGATAATCACGCACGTGGAAAGCATATTTATTTGAACTATGAAGAAGTGACAAATTCATTTTGATATTAACATAATATGACATTTAAAAAATGTAATGATTCATGAGATAAATCCAGAGATTACTTTAATGCCACAAAAGCATTTCTGAAATATGGTTTAAGCCAACCGTTATTAGAATTGATAATTAATTGAATGATTATGAATATCGCTTTTAATTTCGAGATAAATCAATTGCATTTATTTCAAGAAGAAAACTGCAGCATTCCTTATACAATTCATCCGAAATAATCAGAGCAGTACTGAATATGAAAGAATTCAAAAGACATCAACAAGACGATATTTTCATGTGTTTTTGCCTTAGTTTTTGCAACGCCACCTACGACTCCAACGATGTGCTATATTACCGTTTAGTGTTTGCAGTTTGATGATTATCTCGTGTCGCACATGATTGATCGCAAAAGCTTCAAAACGATTTGATTCAAATCATATTTGTGTTTGTTAAACAGATATTCTACCGAAAACAGACACGCTGCTGATTGAATTTTCGGACCGCCAGATAAACATGGTC